CTTCTAAAGCAAGGAAAAAACGACTTTAATTCGTGCGTCTTCGTCTTGGATGTATACCATCAGGCAGACTTTGAGCCTTTTCTTACGCCGATTTTTGTTTGGTCAACTTCCGTAAAGGTTTATTAAAATCGTGGAACATTTAAAATCGTGGAACTATGTCGTCTGTTTCGGTCTTAGCTTCCGATGATGGAACAGTTTCAGCTTTAGCGGTGGGTTTACTTAATAATTTACTAACAGTTACCAAGTTCTCCATAAAGTTCTCTAGAAAATTGAAAAGAATGCTTGTGTACAACTAAAACTTTCCGATAGATGACTTGAGAGTGATACAATTAGCACCACTCTAGCCAACTTCAGATTGAACAGAAATGGCAGTTATCCATGAAATTGGTAAATTTACCGTGATCAGCAATATTATAACCAATAACCTCAGCACAATCTTATCTTAAGAGTTTGGTATCAAACTTAGACTGTACTTCAAATATCAGCAATTTCTAAAACGACCGTATTTTGGGTTTTTGTGTCTGTTTTCTTTATTTCTCCATCTGCGGAAACACGGTGACTGGGCCAAAATGATCGCAAGCTTCGTTTAAAACGTTCATGGGTTCTGCTTGTTTCACTTATTTATAAGGAAATGGGTTGAATAATTTTTTTAATAAACGAGAAGAATGAACCTAAGCTTCAGCAACTTTTCCAACTATCCATCACTAAATTGCCAGTGTACAGATGAATGAGCTAAGCTACGCTTAAAGTGTCCTTTTGATCATTTGTTTCAAGCAAATAGCTGATTCCAGTTCTTAAGTCATTTGTTGACTGGGTCCGAAATCAAATCTAAATGGGCTCAATAACTTCATAGAAGCAACTAAAATACAAAAAAGCAAAAACAAAAAAACAGGTGTTTGGATTGGTAGTAGAGACTTGTCACAGAAAACTTAGATTTTCAATTAGTTTCCCTGATTGACACAAAAATGCTAGTCATACAATTTTTTCATATCTGTCTTAAAATCTCTAATTTCAAAAATTCAAGAAAAGTTTTATAATCTGCCATTTTGCCGATAATAGATTGTAGAACTAGCGATTTCACAAGCTATGGAAACTTTGCTAAGCGTTTCTTCAAGATTCAAAAAATTTGTTGCCGATATATTATTTCCTACTTCTGATTCACTAATCTTGACGGTCTTAGCTTATGTGTATTTTTTGATGAAAGAATTGTCTGGCAAAAACCAAAAAACCAAAAAAAAAAAATGTTTGAAGTTTCTGATCAACTGAAGTCTAATATTTTCTGCTCCAAAAGCAAAAAAAAGGTTAAGTTGAATACGATTCAGAGTCAATGCAAATATTATCGGTCGGATTGTTCGGAGTCAGTCGCGCAAGGTTTTCTTTTCATTTACTTCGACCTTTTTGATATCAGTTTTTTAAAGTAGCTCTGCCAAATTATTGGTTTAGTCAGACAACTTGTGGAAAATTTTTGATAAAAAAATGCAAGAGTTTAGTTCGGGCTCTTTGACAAAAAAAAATAAGTAAATTTTGTCGTCCAAGCATTTACAAGAGAACTGAGTTATGCTAAAAGTGATCGACTGATCATTTAATTTCGTGAAAATAACTGAGTTTAGTCATTTAATAAGTGAGTACAAATTTCTAATGCTTGATTGGGGATTATTCAAACTCAAATGGGCTCAAAATTGTTTAAAAAAATACAGATAAGGTACAATATAGCTGTATTGGTTTGTAGCAAAGATTTCACACAGTAAAATTAGATACACAATTAATATCACTGCTTGACACAAAACTGCTGAACTTACAATTTGCTCTCAATTCTCGTACAATCAAAAGTTTTGAAACAATCATTGGATATTTTATGGACTACAGTTTTGTCAATAGTCTTTTGTTGAAATAGAATGTTCTCGTGCTATGGAAATCTTTACCAAGCATTTCTACAAGATTTTCAAAATTTGTTGCCGATATATTATTTCCTACTTCTGATTGAGTAACATTTAGGAGTTAGCTTATGTGTATTTTATTTGATGAAAAAATTGTCTGGCAAAAACCAAAGAGCAAAAAAACATATTTGAAGTTATCTGGTCAACTGGACTCTATTATTTTCTGCTCCAAAAGCAAAAAAAAAACGTTTTTTTTTGCGTACGATAACCAATTCAACTAATATCGGTCCGACTTTTCTGCGTCAGTTGCACAAGGTTTTTTTTCATTTACTTCGACGTTTTTGATAGCAAATTTTTTGTAATACCGCCAATTTTTTGGTTTAGCCAGACAACTTGTTGAAAAGTTTTGATCAAAACATGCAAAGTTTTTGGTCCGGGCTCTTCATCAAAATATGTAAATATTTTCGTCCAAGCATCTAGAAAAAGAACTAAACTCTGCTAAAGGTGATCGGTTGATCAATTAATTTCGAGAAAATAACTGAGTTTAGTTTTTAAGTCATATAATGAGTGAGTTGAATTTTCTAAAATTTGATGGGGACTATTCAAACCCAAATAGACTCGAAAGTTGTAACAAAAAACACAGATAAGATACAATGATAGCAAAGCTAATATAGCTGGATTGGTTTGTAGCTAAGGTTTTATACAGTAAAATTGGATATACAAATACCATCCCTGGTTGACACGAAAATGATGGTCATACAATTTTCACACATTTCTCATACGAACCATAGTTTTGAAAAAATAATTGGAAATTTTGTGACATACTGTTTTGACAATTTGTATCTGCCGTTATCGTAGAACTTGCATTTTTTCGTGCTATAGATCTGCTTGACAAGCTTTGAAAACAGTGTATTCGAAAATAGTGTATCCAAAAGCAAAAAAATAGGTCAGTTTGTTTTTTGCCTACGATTCAGAATCGAACCAATTGGGGACTGCTCTGCGATACAGAGTTGGGACTGATCTGCGTCAATTGCACATCAACTGTGTTAATTAATTCGACCTTTTTGAAAGCCTTTTTTGTGTAGGTCGACCAATTCATTATTTAAGCCAGCTTTAAAAAGTTTTAACCAAAATTTGAAAGTTTTTGAGCCGTGCTCTTTGTCAAAATTAGTAAGTAACGGCATCAAAGGATCTTCAGAAAATTTTAAGGGTCGATCGGCCAAAAATAGATTACGTAAGAAAAAACAGACGAAAAAAATCGTGTTTGTAAGAATTGTGTGGGGGCCACAAGTGCGAGTAACAATCATGTACTTTACGGGTTGAGTAGTTTTGGCAAATATTTTGGGTAAAAAATTTGAGCTCTCTTCCCCTCCCCACCTCACATCAATGTCATTCTTAGCTTACATGGGACAAGGAAAGAGATTTTGGGATCAAAGATTTTTATTCACTTGTGAAATTGACCCGAAAAAGGTTTTTGCCAGACTATTTTTTGACAGGAAGAAGTTCTAATTTTGTCTTTGCGAACTTGGTTAATTTTAGGACATGGTTTTTCTGTAGATAATGATTCTGGGGCCAGAAAAAAAAACAAACAAGACGAGCGGAGTTTGGCGGATAATATAAGGCAAGTTTGCGGGAGCTGAACAAAATTGGTGTAAAAACTTTCAAGCGGTGACTGTTATCATATACTGGCAAGGATCAACTGATATTAAGTTTTTAACCAACTAGAATAGTCAAAAATTCCTAAATGTCTTCTGTTTTGCCCAAACTAATGTCAAAAAAGCAAAAAACTGAGTTTCAGACAATACAAGATACAGTCATTACAATGTGAAGATGTGCTTTTTTGCATTGCACACTTTTAGTTTTATAAGCAAACGAATTCTGTGCACTTGATTCATTACGTAAACTCTCAAAACGTGTTGCGAAAACCGTGAATGTTTTTCTGCAATAGCGGCATGTTGTGTCCATGCTACTATGTCACAGAGTCTGCAACATAACTTTTTTGCGTCTAACTGCGTAAATTTATTGATATTTTTGGGGTTTTGAAAACCCAGTTTTAATTGGCTCAAACAAATTGCCTGACATTTGTTGTCTCCATTGTAGGGGATCTAAACTGCTGATTTAAATTATGCTGACCAATTGAATAAAACTTCACACTTCCAAATTTTGTTAGTTATTTTCCGGATGATTCAAGTCAGCACTTTCTGTAGTAGCGAAACTTTTCCAAAAAGTTGACCCATAACGTTCGATTAAAATAGGAGCAACCATTTGCAAGCAATCAAACACACGGTTTCATATGTTTCAATGCTATAATAAATAGTAAATTTTTCGAAACAGTAGTGCAATAACTCAAACTTTTTGGAGCAGTAGTTCAATATGCAATACTTGAAAAACTAGTGAAGTTTTTCAAATAGTGGTGCAATTTTTGAAACACTGGTGTGATTTTTTCCTAGAGCAATAAAAAAAAGCTAAAACCAACAATTGCTTGCTAGCTTGAAAACTTTTTCCATTGAGTGTGATTTGTTCAATTTCTTAATGGGTTTCAAACAAGATAAACAAAAGCTTATATTGCATCTCGAAATTTGTTCAAATCTCGACACTGCGTGTCTCACTTTTGTCGACTAGTGTAGTTTTTGTCAATTTGTTACCCAAAATTTTGGAAAACTTTTTGATTATTTCAATTCTGGATGTCAATCAACTGAGTTTTCTAAGCTTAAGTGGTGGTGTTGTCATAAAATGCATTGACTTCGAACATTTCCGTTTTTTTTTTGTTTAAATTTCTATTATAATTATCCATTCAGTTCGGGTTAAGCATTAGGAGTTTTGATTTTTTTCGGATATAAAGTTTCCTGATATTAAGTACATTTTGCGGACTTTTGCATCAGTATACGGGCAGCGGCTTTAGCTTTACCTGCCAAAAAAGTTATATTACGGAAACTGAACTTTTGACAAAATTTTTAACAAGTTTTTTTATGCGGGTATCATTATCAATAGGTGCTATTATCAGCACAGTTGAAATAGCAAACGGAAAAATATCAATTCAAATGATAACTGAATAGTGTTTTACGCTCTTAACTTAGTTTTAATAAAAATTTTAAAGTTTGAAAAAAGAACAAACAAAAACAGAGGACCTGGAGAGACTGTCTACCTAGTTTTTGATGATCTTGGCTGGCAAAAGAATCGGAGTCAATTATATTACAGTTTGTTCAAGTATATTCCAGATTACTATTCATATTGGTCACAAGTTTTCCTGATGTTAGCCATATCAATCGAACGATACATCTTGATTGTAAAGGCAACTGAGTCAAAAACGCTTCTATCAACTCGTCGAAGAAGACTGCTATACGGCTTTGCAATTATTTTGGGTTTCATTATCCCATCGGTATATGTGGTCGATTATGTGTTCGTGAACATGTTGCAGATTGAACTGGGTTCAGATAAAGATTTCCAATATGTTGGATAACTGCTTTTCAATGATAGCTGATTTAACCCACAAAGAAACCTGGTTGCATTTTTAAGTCTTACCGAATCGAGCTTTTCGTTTTAAGATTAGGCCGAACTGAAAAACTTGAGATTGAAATCGTTTTACATCGATTTTTGTACGAACAAAATAATCTAGAAAAAACGACCTACGATTTCCCATTTAGATACGTAAATCGGTTTAGGGTGCAATAAGTGGATTTTTATGGTAGAGAAAAAAACAATATAATGCATGGAAATGGATTTAAATCGTGAATTGGGTTTTTGCAAGGTAAAGAAAAACATCAAATTTAAAATAACTCAAAGAAACTTGAACAAAAAAATCTGTTCAGAAAATCTCTATCAGAAGTACAGAGAACAAGAGTCACTCAAGTATACTTTTCACCGCAAAACATTGCGTTTGAGGTATTCCCTTTTAAATTGCGCAAAACTAACTATTCCCGCGGTTTAAAGATTTTTTTTCAAAAAACAATTCAGAAACATTCAATTTTGTCGCAGAGTGTATAGATACTAGTTATTCCCATAGTTTGTTCTCAGTCCAAGCATCAAAAAAATGAAATAAAAATTAATTGTTGAAATTTTATTATGTCTCGTTTGTAAGTCTAGAAAATCTTCAAACTGTTTATATAAAATCTATTCACAATCTGTTCAAAATGATTATAAAAAAGTTGTTGAAAAAGCGTCTAATTCTAATTGAATTGACTGATATCAAAATTTTTAAAACTCAAATCTGTAGAAATATGATACTAAAATAGTTGACAAAAAGATTAAAATGATATAAAACCGATTGAAACCATATCGACTCTACGTCAATTTAAAATGATTTTTAAAGGTATAACCTTTATCAGTTCAAAATTGATAGTGATCCATTTCTTGTCAATATGGTGAAGTTTCTTGTTTCTATAAGTGCGCCAGAAAGTTATAAAAAGGACAAACATTCTCTCTAGAGGGTTGATTGGCAAGAATTGCGGAGATGTGTACGCAAAATACATTTACAAAAAAAAATGTAGAGGCGCAACCTAATTAAGTTTAATCAAAACCGGCGCGACCGAGGAAAATTTGAAAAGGGTCATTCAGACGCTTAACGGTTTTGCTGTATAGTTCAGTATCAATTTTTTTATCGTGTTTTCTTCTAGCAACTTTCTGAAATTTGAAACTTTCTCATTGTGACCTATCAAAACTATCAAGTCCCCAAAAACTACTAATCTCCAGCTTTAAGTACCGCTTCTCGAAATACTGCGCTGTGACTAGCTTTTAGACTGTCGAAGTAAAATTTCTTAAGTATATTATGTGAATAACGCAAAGTTTTTTTTTTATCGGAACACATTGAAAAACACTGAAACAACCGGCGGAATTTGCACTCAAATTTATTTTTTAGTTTGCATATATCTTGTACGTTCAATTCGTTTGCAATAAGAAAAAATCAAATATTTGCTAAAACCGCAAAAAAGACAACATGTTTAGCTATTTAAAAGTTTCCAACAGGGAATTGTAGTTTAGAGATTCCACGAGCATGGCATAATATCCAGTTATCTTCTTTTTACTTAGGTTAAGTTGTTCATTCTGAAAGACTTGGTAGATATCACAAGGCTGAAGTCAAAAGGTTTGTCACATATCATTTTTTCCAAAACTTTCTAGTTAATCTGAGCCAACCTGCAAACTTGGAATAGTATGAAAACATTTTTCGTTTACAAACCAAAAATGAAACGTGTTGAAGGAACCGCTTAGCTGAGCCACCTCATTAACCTTGCAAAACGATATAGTTTACAAAAACGTTTGGTATATAATCAAGTGCTATTTCCCCGGATAGTGCAAAGTTGTCACTCCGTGTGTTTCGTTTTGGAGCTGTGAAAAACACTTCTTTTTGCATAGAAAAGAAAAGATTTGAAAAAGATAGATACTGTTTCTGAAAGAATGTGCCAGAGCTGAGATTAGTTTTGTTACAAATTATTGTTTTTTTATTTTTTTTTGAAAGTTATAAATAAGAAATTTATAAATAAGGACAAACATTCTCTCTAGAGGATTGATTGGCAAGAATTGCGGAGATGTGTACGCAAAATACATTTACAAAAAAAATGTAGAGGCGCAACTTTATTAAGTTTAATCAAAACCGGCGCGACCGAGGAATTTTTGAAAATGGTCATTCAGACGCTTAACGGTTTTGCTGTATAGTTCAGTATCAATTTTTTTATCGTGTTTTCTTCTAGCAACTTTCTGAAATTTGAAACTTTCTCATTGTGACCTATCAAAACTATCAAGTCCCCAGAAACTACTAATCTCCAGTTTTAAGTACCGCTTCTCAAAATAGTGCGCTGTGACTAGTTTTTAGACTGTCGAAGTAAAATTTTTTAAGTATATTATGTGAATAAGGCAAAATTTTTTTTTTAATCGGAACACATTGAAAAACACTGAACCAACCGGCGAAATTTGCACTCAAATTTTTTTTTTACTTTGCATATATCTTGTACGTTCAATTCGTTTGCAAAAAGAAAAAATCAAATATTTGCTAATACCGCAAAAAAGACAACATGTTTATGTATTTAAAAGTTTCCAACAGGGAATTGTAGTTTAGAGATTCCACGAGCATGGCATAATATCCAGTTATCTTCTTTTTTACTTAGGTTAAGTTGTTCATTCTGAAAGACTTGGTAGATATCAAATGGCTTAAGTCAAAAGGTTTGTCACATATCATTTTTTCCAAAACTTTCTAGTTAATCTGAGCCAACCTGCAAACTTGGAATAGTATGAAAACATGTTTCGTTTACAAAGCAAAAATGAAACGTGTTGAAGGAACCGCTTAGCTGAGCCACCTCATTAACCTTGCAGAACGATATAGTTTACAAAAATTTTTGGTTTATAATCAAGTGCTATTTCCCCGGATACTGCAAAGTTGTCACTCCGTGTGTTTCGTTTTGGAGTTGTGAAAAACACTTCTTTTTGCATAGAAAAGAAAGGTTTTGAAAAAGATAGATTCTGTTTCTGAAAGAATGTGGCAGAGCTGAGTTTAGTTTTGTTACAAATTATTGTATTTTTAATTTTTTTTGATTGCACTGGCTTTGCTCAATTAAGCATAGCCGTTCAAACAAAAAAATTAGTAATGAAAAAAAAATTATAACAATTTTTTTTGTTTATTGATATCAATTCATTGATCTTTCATTTATAGTTCTTTCAACATTCGTTTTAGCGTTTTCTTCAATAAGTGCTTCATTTTTTTCAATCACTTGTCACTTAACTTTTTTGGGCAGTGTGTTACCATGCTTTCGCTTGATGTTCATTTTTTCAATCACTTGAGATTTAACTTTTTTGGGCAGTGTGTTACCATGCTTTCGATTGATATTTACATTTTTTTTGTTAGGCTAAGAACATTCGATATTTTGCTATTGTTTACTGCAACAAGCTTAGTACTTTTGTAGAAAAAAAAACAGATAGTCAAATTGAGCAAGCCTATCAAGTCCCCACAAACTACTAATCTCCAATTTTAAGTACCGCTTCTCGAATTACTGCGCTGTGACTAACTTTTAGACCGTCGAACTAAAACTTCAAAGTATAGTTTGTGAATAACGCAAAGTATATTTTTTTATCGGATCACACAATGAAAAACACTGAACCAACCTGCGGAATTTGCACTCAAATTTATTTTTTACTTTGCATAAACTTTGAACGTTGATTTCAAAAAAAATATCAAAGAGAGGCGGTCTCTTCCATTCAATAATTGCTAATATCGCAAAAATGACAATAGTCTATGTATTTAAAAGTTTTCAACAGGGAATTGTAGTTTAGAGATTCCACGTGTATGGCATAACATCCAGTAATCTTCATTTTAACTTAGGTCGTATTGTTCATTCTTCTGAAAGACTTGGTAGATATCACAAGGCTTAAGTCAAAAGGTTTGTCACATAATATTTTTTTCCAAGACTTTCTAGTTAATCTGAGCCAACCTGCAAACTTGGAATAGTATAAAAACATTTTTCGTTTTCAAACCAAAAATCAAACGTGTTGAAGCAACCGCTTAGCTTAGCCACCTCATTAACCTTGCAGAACGATATAGTTTACAAAAATTTTTGGTTTATAATCAAGTGCTATTTCCCCGGATACTGCAAAGTTGTCACTCCGTGTGTTTCGTTTTGGAGTTGTGAAAAACACTTCTTTTTGCATAGAAAAGAAAGGTTTTGAAAAAAGATAGAAATTGTTTCCAAAAAATTGTTGCAGAGCTGATATTAGTTTTGTTAAAATTTAATGTGTTTCTAAATTTTGTTTGAATGCACTGGCTTTGCTCAATTAAGCATAGCCGTTCAAACAAAAAACACAATTAATGAAAAAAAATTATGATAATTTTTTTTGTTTATTGATATCAATTCATTGATGGTTCATTCATAGATCTTTCAAGAGTTGTTTTAGCGTTTTCTTCAATAAGTGCTTCATTTTTTTAAATCACTTGTGAGTTAAATTTTTTGGGCAGTGTGTTACCATGCTCTCGCTTGATATTAACATTTTTTTTGTTAGGCCAGATAAAGAAAATTAGCACGAGAAAAAGTGTTTGTAAACATAGATTGACCAAATTCAGTTTTTCAAAAGCGTTTTGTAGCTCAAAAGAGCTCGATCATTATTGAAGATCTCGACCGCACTCAATTTTTGTGAGAAATAAAACTTTGCTGAATTGTCTGTTCGAGACAGATTTTTGCTTAAAGTTTTCACGCCTCTTTCAAAATTTTATGGATTTACGATCGTAGATGTTCCAGTTCTCCCGGAGAGTTATGGGAACTGACACTAATCGTAATTTTACGGGCGGGGTAATTCGAATAGATTCGTTTGAACTCGCAGAAGACAATGTTAGAAGTCATAGATTTAGAACTTTGATTTGGAGTACAAATTTTTCGGACTGCGTTTAAAATTTACAAAATTAGTTTTCTTTTCAAAAAAATTCGCTCAAATGTCTGTTCGAGACAAGTTTTTTTTTAAATTTAACCTCTTTTT